GTAGTGGTAGTAGTAGTAGTAGTAGTAGTAGTAGTAGTAGTAGTAGGAGTAGGAGTAGGAGTAGGAGTAGGAGTAGGAGTAGGAGTAGGAGTAGGAGTAGGAGTAGGGGTAGGGGTAGGGGTAGGAGTAGGAGTAGGAGTAGGGGTAGGAGTAGGAGTAGGAGTAGGAGTCAAGTAAGCCAGCGCGAACGAGTCAAGCCTGGCGCGATGGCGGTTACCGATGGGAATTTCCTGGCGCGTCTCAAAGGCTGCGCTGGCATTTTAGCACTGGTAGGATGGCCCCTCCCGCTTGGGGTTGCCCACAGACGTCCGCGCGCGAAGTGCGCCGCGCCCCGTTCCCGCCGCGCATTTCGCATCGTCGACGGCAAGGCAGGCCATGCTGAGAAAAAACAGCGACTTCGTATTGTTTTCCACCGTGAGGATGGGAGGGCCCGGATGGACGGCCCCAGGAGGCACTATCACGCCCCGGGATTTTCCAGGAGGCCCTAGGAAGTCCCGGGCGCCCAACGAACTGGCGAGCGAAGCATGTGTGCTGCGCCTGTGCGGGGGCGCAACTTTCAGAAAACATGCGCGCGGCGCGAGAGCGACATTTCGTCCTGTGGCGAACTGGCGAGCTGGAGGCCCCAAAAAGCCTCAGGAGGCCCCGAGGGAATCCCCGAGGCCCTGGGAGGCCCTCGGCGCCCATCGAGCTGGCGAGCGAAACGTGCGCGCTGCGCTTGTGCGGGGGCGCAACTTTCAGAAAACATGCGCGCGGCGCCAAAGCGAAAGCGACATTTCAGCCTGTCGCGCGAGACTGCGCCGCGCCCCACTCTTGCCACGCATTTCGCAACGCCGACAAGAAAGTCCACGTTGAGCAGAGACAGGTCGACTTTGTATTGTTTGTTGATTGGTCGGATGGCCCCTCGTCCGCGCGCGATCTGCGCCGCGTCCCGTTCCTGCCACGCATTTCGCAACGTCGAAGACAAGACAGGCCATTTTGAGAAACAACGACGATATTGTATTGATTTTCTACGGTTCGGATGGGAGGGCCCGGATTGACGGCCGCGCGCGATGTGCGCCGCGTCGTATTTTTGCTACGCATTTCGCATCGT